GATGAATTCAATTAAAGCTTCCTAACTGGTACTTCGTTGTTCCTTTGTTTTTTTGGTTAATTTTTCCAAAATTAATTAGATTTCATTAAGGGTAATTAAGTAATTACGTAAAATCAATGACTCAACAAGAGCCGAGAGTCCGACACGTCAGCAAAAACACTTCTCAAATATTATTATATATAGATATTACCCTCATATATATATTCTAAATGTTTAGGGTCACAAACATTAGCTTTTTCAAAGGTCTAAAGGTGGACTTGAACTCTTTGTTTGGAGGGCTTCAATTTGATATATTATTTATCAAATGTTTACAAACTTGACGGTGATAAAGAAATGTTTAGGTTTAAGTGACAGCGATGTAAAAGGTAGGACAGAGGAGCGACGGCGATGGCGATTAGGTTTAAGTGATGAGAATCTCGAGTTTTCTTTTTTTGCTGTGTCTTCTGTTCTGGGTTATCTTTTTGCTATGGATCTGGGGAGTTCTATTGGTCTTCAGTGTTGTTTGCCGTGAATGGAATCGAAGAGATTGTGTTTTTGATTGTAATCAAGCTTATTGGATCTCCTATGAAAATCTATTATCCGGCGTGATATTAGTATTTCTTAGGCTGATTAGAAGATTGGGCATTTGTTTAATTTGGGGAATATGTGGCTCTCGATGGATTGGGGAAGGAGTAAATTTGGGAATTCTCTTTCGCTTAATTGGGGTTAAGATATATCAAGGAGGATCGGAGGGATTGGGTATGCTTGGGAGTAATTCAGAATTTGGTAAAAGGTTTTTTAAGGATCAAATAATGACGGGATTTTGGATACGACCAGTCATGTCCATCAAAAATGGTAAGAGTAGAGATTCTTATCATTCTCGAAATTCTTTCTCATTAATTTCAATAGGTTTGATTTGGTTCAATGATTTGATCTTCTGGGAACTTAAGGAATTATTGAAGATTTGGGTTTTACGGTGCTTGATCTGTGGAGATTCAAAGGCAATTCATTGGTGGTGCCTCTATAAAAAGTCTCACATCTTTATCTCGTCTCTTATCATACTGTTCTCTCAAATAACAGCAGATAAAGAACCTAATCTTTTGTTTTCACGTCTTGTTTTGTCTCAGTTTCGAAAGAGTGTTAAGATACGGTTGTGTTTGGTTCATATGGCTCAATTATCGTTGAACAAAGGCAAGGCTGCGATGGTTCGCATAGAGGTGGTGAAGATTTCTGGCTCTATTTTGTCTCGAAGGATCCAACAATTTTCCCTTACTCTAATTGGGAGATTGATGAACCCGAGTGTCCAAAGGATGGATTCTCTGGTGGCGAATATGCCAAAAATCTGGAAACTGGAAGATAAGGTGGTTGGAGCTGACTTAGGGAAAGGTATTTTTCAGTTCAACTTTCAAGCTGAAGAGGATTTGCAAGGTGTTTTGAAGAACATGCCATATCACTTTGATGGATGGATGGTTGCTTTGGTCAGATGGGAGTCTATAATTTCTGCTACGTATCCGTCGGCTATAAACTTTTGCGTAAAAGTTTCTGGCCTACCAATGCACTTATGGGAAGAAGCAACTCTCAAGGCTATTGGAAAAAAAATAGGGATGATCCGTGATCTTGATGTGGATTCAGGGAGCATCTATGTTATCCACCCCCTTGTGTTTCAAATGGTGGTGCCCTTTGATACAGGTGATGAGGTGGTGGTCTCTCTGGATTATGAGAAATTGGTAAATTTCTGCCAACATTGTTCTCGGTTAACACATGACATGGTAGTATGTC